AAAAAATATTCATAACTGTTCTACTTATAGGTTTTCAATCAATTTTTAACCCTTTAAGAGCAAATGCCACCGAAAACCGAGCAAAATTTAAATTTAGCGGCAGAAGTCGAAAAATTGATTTTTGTCTCTTTTCGTCCGCAAAAAGCCTTTAGGTAGATATGAAACGTGATGCAGGTTTTTGGAGCTCGAAGCGCTTTAAATTCGAGAAAATCGAGGAAAACGATTTTCGCCTCGACGGTCACCAAAATGGCCAATCGCAGCGGCTTAAAATTAGTAATCTAAACTTAATTTGCGTTCGCGTGTAAAGAAGAATCAACACTTATCGATACTTTTTCTTGAAAGACAAAGTATTCAGCTATCCAAAACAGGTTAGAAATTGACTTGAGCGCCATTTGAGAATAAACACACAATTTTTAAAGAAATCCCTTTCAGTCACTAGGTCGAATTCCTAATTTACGAATAAAATTCAGAGATATTTTTCGACATGTGCCATAACTCCAAATTCCTTGAAACTTCGCCTTTAGAGCACTTTTATGTTGTTGTAAAACATGTATTCAAATCAGCTTGGGTTATTTTTCGGGTGCTTTTTGAGGCCCGGCTGGAAAACCCTGATTTTGCCTAAAAGATCACGAAAAGTACACAATGGACTTCTGCTTGTTGGTCTGAGGGCAATCGGGTATAGGCGTTTAAAGTCCTTGTATTATTAGTCACTTGTACTTAACACTTTTATGTTGTTGTAAAACAAGTATCAAAATCAGCTTGGGTTATTCTTCGAATGGTTTTTAACGCGCCGCTGATATAACCGGATTTTAATGATCACATCAGCAAGAAGTAAACAGTAGACTGCTTGCGTGTTTTTCTGAGGCGAGGAGAGTCTGCTGAAGTAAAGCGGTTTAACTTCTTTTATTATCATATCTTCGTTCTGCAGGTCAATATGCTTCTTTGCAAGTAAAATAAAATGATAACATGAGTTTATTCGTGCATTCAAAACTACCTTCACTCCTTAGGAATATTTCAATCTTCTTACGTTAATTAGGTTACTGACAAACGGACAATGTGTAGATTTCACAACCACGGCACCGTAATTCTGACCAATTCAACCTGTTTAACTGTGTACATGTATTGATAAAGTTACAGAGTTGCATTTACTTCAGTTC